CCCTTTAAACCACGAAATAATAATAAAATGATAACATTCCACTGATTTGTATGACACTGTTGTACATTGTAATATTGGCAATTTTGATGATCCTGTTCAGCTTTTGCGGTGGAGAATTCTATGTTTCGTTTATGACAGTTCATTTCTCATACAAATATTTGTATATCTTTGTAATTTTGTTACAAACACTAAAACCAATTCAAGCTTTATATCAATGTAATCGTCAAATGTAAATTTAAATAACTATATATTCAACTCCTAGAAATATTCGCATATGAAAATACAAACTTGTTCAAGCTAAATGCTGATTGCATAGTTGTGAAACAATAGCTACTTAGTTAAGTATATGTGTATGCGGCGCTGTTTTTGAACCTCATTTTCACAGTCGAGCCGATCGTTTCGATTTAGCAAATTGTGTGAGATTTTGTGAGCCAAAAAGTGCCCTAAACTTTGATCTTTTTTTTTGATCCCAAAAAGTAACTATATTTCTTAATCGCAATGGATTAAACTCACAACAATCGGTTCTCATCAACGGCGATTGTATATGCAAAAATGCTAGTTTTATTGTTCAATGTGTTTTAGCACAGTTGCCCTACAATTTATTAAAATCGTGTAGAAATTTTTCACTCGTTTAATAAATCTGATAGTTTAAGGTATTAATTGTCACATTACTTCACCACTAATCATTTGTTCAAACTATTAGTTACGAGTGACTGTGGGGAAGATAACGATTGTGACCAAATTTGCACAGATAATGGAGAATATTATGAATGCCACTGTCAACAAGGTTATTATTTAAATGAAGACAACACAACATGTTCACGTGAGTTACATTTTTTTTACAATGTTACAGCTATGTAAATGAGAGGCAGATTTATTCGTGATGGAAGTCAACTTGAACAATTAATATTGAACGAACCTCGGATAATTATCTCAATTAGCCAATGCCATCTGAACACGTGACAAAATTAGAATAAAACAGTACTATTTATTTTGATAAAACTATTCATTTTATTCAGATAACATATTTTGCAAGCCGATTTGCTTAGTCGTCTTAAAAAAGATATATTTGCCAAACAACATGATACAATGTAATAACAATGAATTTATCGTTCAGAATTATGGAGAAATGACAGAAAATGTGGCCCAAGCTACCCACTATCAAATGGTGAACCAGCACAATGCGACCCCTCAGCCAAGAAGCATTGTTGTAGTGCTCATGGACGTTGTGAAAAAGAGCGTAGACACTGTGAATGTGTGAATTGCATCGATTATGGAGGCGGTGAGTCCTAATGTTATGAAACAAATATACAATATAGAAATACCAGATGGTTGTATTCATGTATCCAAACTTTATGGTATACACACTTCGATTTATAATGCAGGGCATTTTTCAATACTTCAATTTCTTCTTTTTATAGATACTGGTTCAGGATCCGGATCCGGATCCCAATCTGGCTCGCGTGAACGATTCCTAGAACCGCTTGGCAACCACTGATTCGTCGAACTATGACAAATAGAGATTCGTTATTTAATAGAAATATATATATATATACACGAATTAAACATTAATTTATATCTAGCGCAATCAATGTTAGTATGGATCACCCAGGTCATTAAGGTATATGTACGTAATTGCTAGAAATGATAGTGTTTGTTATATTGTAACGATGCCATCGCACATATTCGACTTGATTGGTAGCAATGCAGGCAGCAGGTCGCCGAGTTGTATTCGAAGGGATTCACATTTTTTTATCTCATTCTAACAGAACTATGAATTAGCTCGCCTTGATAGGCTTAGATGCGTAGAATATTCAACATAGCTGGTATATTTGCCCGGAGCTGTTACACATTATTGATTACAATGGACATTGAATTTCTGTAGATAGTTGGATTGTATAAATAACATCTTACCCAATCATATACTCGATGTGCAATAAATAATAACACAAGTACAGATGAATATGTACAAGACATTGACAACTATAAACATAAACAAAGGATCGTCGTCTTCGTCAAACATTTGCGATCGAGGCATTTCAATATTATATTTGGAGAGAAAAGATTTTTAAACAAACAGTAGATTTGTGGATTTATTTTAGAAAATTGCATTAGCAATCTGCTATAAAATTATCATCTTTTTCTGAAATTGATCTAGGTAACCAAATTTGATAATGAATTTGTGTGGCGTCGCATATAGTTAAATAAATATAAACCAGCTACGATACAAATATGACGCTTATAAATACTGCACCCATTGGTGTCTTATCAGATAATAAAGAAATATGTATATGTATTGAATAAACATGTAAACTCGAAATAAAATCATGTTAAAATTAATAATTCGATATTGTTATACATTATGAGGTAATCACAAGATTTAATTGTCATGTAGATGGTTAATGAGAGTGACGTCATGAGATAAAATGTTCACAAACCGGAGGTGGTGATAAGTGCCATGACGGATTGCTACATTTTAATAGTTACATTTCACGGTATAAGCAAATGCTAAGTAATTGCTCCGTTCCCGCACAGTTAAATAATTGATGTTTGTATGGCTGATGCAGATAATAATAATAATAAATCTCCTTACACCGCTTGCTATGTAAGGCTTGGTAATGTTTAGTTATGCACGTATTGGTGTTATCGAAATATGGTGTGGTAGTGTTGCTACATTTGCCGGCACATAAATATCAAAATGGTTGTCCATATTAGGGATGTGTATGGCGAACGCTATATGTTGCGATGGTTTATGTGAGATATGATCTAAAATACTGGTTGACATGGCAACAGATGTTAATGTTGATGGTTGCAGTGCACCCACAAATCGTATGTGGATTAAATGGTAACTTGTTTTAAATTCTCGACATTTTGTAGTCCAATATACCATTCTCCGTTCACGCTTAGTAATGTGATATATACATTTGATAGTGATCACTGAAGTAAGGATATCTGAACTATACATTCCTGTCTGAAAGATCGACATTGAACCATAAGAAAGAAATTCATGTTCGAAATCAGGCGTTCGATTTGTGTTTTTTACCAACTACACAAGAACATAACTTATTGTAGAATGTGGAAATACATTGAGGAGTTGTGCATTGAAATTGTTGTTGGATACAATGAATCAAAAATGAATAAAAAAAATATGTTTCGCGTTTACCCAGAATCGCATCGTACAATGTGGTGTTACTCACGACTATCGGTATCAATCTTCCCTTGCAATATTATAATATTCAGAACATTGAAGGCCGGAACTGAGCATATTTTATGAATGGTATATGCTTAATATATACATACATATACCATATATATTACAAACTATATACTATACGCAGTTGATGTATCATATCCATGTACATTACCTGTAGCCGTACGTCACATTTTAACATTTATATTTAGAATGTCAGTTTCCACGACTGATAGTAAAGTCATAATAAAACCACCTACATTTACATAGAAATATCCTCTAATATAAATCTCGGGATGAATTTGCTAGGTTTTTGTTACACGTAGTCCCATTCAGTTGTGCTGGATTTCCTGACTGTAAAATGTTGAACGTTCCCCAATCAACACCAACCAGTGGCGTCACTGCATTTTCCACCATCCCTCGGTGTTCATGATATATATCACACATCAATGCAGTGTGTGGCAAATGATGAAAGATATTACTAGTTCTACTTCTACTAAAACTATGACTTGTACTTGACATTTAAATAAATATTTCAATAGTTAGTTTTACCATACTGATGACGATTATACAGTGCTATATGTATCTTGGTTCGAGTCGACTTCGTGGGTGGCCCGAGTACGAACCACAACGTCATGGCATGGGTGACTGACAGATCTCACTCTAAACAAGTCAATGTTGTTGCTGACTACGTTTTTCTGACCAGGACCGAACCTGCTGCTGTGGAGCGTCGGTCGAAGAGCCAGTGAAAACAGCACAAACTCAACTTTGAAAAAATCCTGAGCAATCAAATTTATATATGTTGTACATGTAGGGATAATCTCGTTACCCTGTTTAGTGAAGTCTCAACAACTATCCCAAAGTACATTTTTCTGACAGTTTTGGGCCTTTGTTTTCACCGTATGGTGTGAAAATACCCGGATGTAACAGAGACTGATTCAGCGCGTTCAGGTCGAATGGTTCTAACCCAATCTCTCATGTAGAGTTGAGATGCTGAATTGTTCGAGTTGCACACATCGAGTTACGAATACATTGAGTTACAGAAATGACCCATATTTTTGAAACCACTCCCACTTTTGTGAATCCACGCCCAAATTGTAACTCGATGTGCAATTAACAGTTAACCAAACTTCCAGTTACCGGCAACATGTATTTTTGTTTTGTTTAACTTTCAAATTTTGTAACTTTAACAGTTATTGGAACTTCGAGTTAGTAACACGAAATTTAATTTGAGCGTGATTTCTGTAACTCGATGTTTTCGTAACTCGATGATCGTTACTCGATGTGCTTAACACGAACAATTCAGCATCTCTGTAGAGTTCTATTTCTATTCACGGGGGGGGGGGAAGTTGCATGACACGATTGGCTGAATAAATATTCACGAGCAATTAAAACTCGTCTTTTCAGTAAAACTGGGCCAAAATGCTTTCCTATAGCCAACTTGGTAGTTGTAAATTTACTGATTCTATCATTACGAGCTGAAAAAATAATCGAAAAACTGATGTAAAAGTGTTCTTCGAGACACGTTTCTGATCAGACTCCAGCAAACTATTGAAAGTAACCACAGGTTTTTTCTTTAACGTGATCATAGAAAGTTACGATATTCATTGAGAATGCAGATATTTCGCTTTAGTACCATTGCTCAAAATTGTTTCAATAACTCCAGCAATTTATTCTTATTTCTGGTCTAGGACTCGACTAGCTCAAATGAGCTATTTCCATGACCCACACCAGAATCCTTTGCAATGGTAAAAAAGAAAAATTAATTGTGTTATGTATATTTTCATTTTCTGGTGTAAGTAAATACAATACAATACAACTTGAAGCTAATGGCGTCAAACTGGGTGTCGGTTGAATTGTTTCCCAATAAACGGTGGGCTACGGACGACTGACTTTGAAACGTTCAATCCAGATCGAACGGCGCCCTCTCGTGCAAATCCCCCCCTCATAGCTCGACAAGTTCGATACGCGTTACTTATCATCACTGCACAAAACAGCTTTGCATAGAACTCATTTGCATATTCAAATGTGTCCCTGAAGGTAAACACAGTAATGCTTATGTCAGCCGGTTACTTTAATCAGTTTAATAATAACGTTTTACTTCCTAAATCTGAATGAATTGTTAGTTTAAATAAATTGAAACATGCATGATTTATGCTTGAAAAGAGCAGTTTTTCCAAAGCTATAAAAGCATTTGATTATATAATAAATGACTAACTTTATAAACTCATTAGAACCTTTGTGTTCTGAGCTGTTAGACACGAACAATCGAATGTTGTATCTTCTCATTTTTAGTATATCACGTACGAATTTCACTACAATAGCATTCCCCTGCGAAGCATAGTTCGCGAAAAAATGGTTCGTATTTACGTTTTCTAGGAAGTCTGACATTAAGAAATAGTCCATTTTTTGTAGTACGTTTTCAGGTGTAACAACTAGGGGAAAATGGCCGTGCGAGGCAAAAGTGGTTTTGCACAAAGCGCAAAGACCATGGGAAGGAGATTGGTGTTTCAACCGTAAGAAACTCTGGCAAGGAGAAGGTTCTAACCTTCGCGAAGAGTGGGTTAAGCATCATGGCGCACCAAACCACAAAAGGCCAGTAACTAGTAATGATTACGGCATTCTGATTGGACCATCATGTTCTCCTTCAGTTCTTTGTTCCATTTCCTTTGGTTACATGACATCAGCGCTTACGCTGGTGGTCATTCTATATATAAAACAGGGTTCTCCTTTTGCTCTTAAAGGTTGCGGGAACATAAAACTATTATTTTGTTACAAAAATAGCGAGTGTAGTGTATACTGCATTGAAACTATGTACTCTGCATGTCATACCATTTATATTATACTGCCACCTACGTTGATATTAAGAAATAAAGTTACCCAGTAGCCACTGGTGGACAAGACAATATGTCGGCTGAATCATTACTTTACAGCGAAATAGGAAGTCTGAAGAGGTAGACTGAATGGGCGTTACGTTATTTCAGTAATACAGACTTGTTTACGGAAAACGAAAATTGGAATTTTTTTCAAATTACTTTACTTTGCCACGTGCCTTTGGACCGGAATCTTGGCCGAGCGGAACAATAGCGAAAAAAAGAGAGGGGTGAAAACATCACTAATTCGAACCTATTCAAGAAGCACGCGGACGAATCTCAAACGCTCTATACAACTACTAAGAAGTCAACGAAACCAACTTGAATTGAAATACTATCTAGCTGTTATATTCTGAACATGAAAACACTGTCTTCATTATTCATTTTTAATAGTGTTTTATATTTTCGGCGCAATCTGTGCCTACACAATCATTGCTGCCTACCGCCCATGCTTCGACATTGAGTCATTAAGTTATAGAGATTAATGTAAATGTCATTTATACTGGTAATTATATGGGAATAAATACGTGATTAATAGCATAACATATTAATTTAACAATTATTAAAAGTAACTGTAAGGGTTGTCTCTCTCCTGTGACAATTAGTCACCAAGATGCTTTCAAGGCGAGTAATTGCAACATTACACAGACAAAACTACAGATACAGAATTGTGTTTACAGTTGATATTTTTTTATAATTTTGAATTCGCAGGTAATAACCCGACAGTACTGGTGATATTTATCTGATTTTCAATACCTATACCTTGCTTTCAAGATCTGGCATTTAGACATTGAAATTTTCAGCAAAAGTTGTACATTTATATTGTAGAAACCAAAATGTGAAGGAAAGTGAATGTATTTCTATATTATCGAGGCGTGGAAATGTATATGCCAAGTAGAATAAATATATAACGCCACATTATTTCGTAAAAACCAGGATACATATTGGACAATAGTTTTGGGCTAAAACTTGAGTGCACGTTATATCAACTTTGTTATATCATGACATTTAAAAATACTGCGAAACGAACAAAACGTAGAAGCCCAATCTGGCAGTGTATCAGTACTGATGCTCCAGTCATTACGGTATATATAGTCTATATTTAGCTTAGTCTCTGGATTACCAACTATTAATACACACTTCGAATTTCTAAATGTAAATTATTTCATATCGGTTTCAGTTCTGTTGCGATTTCAGACAAAAACTTATTTATGATTGTGTTACCAAGAAACATATTCTTAGTGCCAGCCACGTGTCCCGATGTATGAATAATCATATTCGTGGCAGTACGTATGGGCTATTTTAATTGAAACGTATAAACTGCAAATCGCCATATTGACAGACCCTTTAACGTAGTGTAAATTAATAATACGGTTACCTACATTTAAAGACATGTTGTATATACGTCATTGTTCACTAGTCATTGCGGCATTATGCAACACATCCAGAATCATGTAATACGTACTTTGGATGCTAAGAAAATGTGTGTCAATGCGACTCGCGTTGGGCGATATTTCTATTAAACTAGGGGGCATTTTTCACCTGAGTTTGGATTTGAACGACGAAGATGGCCAGGAAGGGACAGAAGAACACGACTGCGGAAATTAGTGATCATTTTTCTCTGATAAATGAGCAGCAGGTTGATGATATCACGTTAGAGTTTTTTTATAAACCGCACACGCTTACTTTATTGTTAATCGTCGTACTCACAGCACTGTACTTCGCGTTTACAAGGTGGGTACATATTTTTTTATTTATCGTTTATAACTGATATTTATGATTCATAGAATTTCTCACGATTACGCTGCATTCCAATCCTATGTTTATAATTTCGTAAAGAAAAACACTATTGCTAAAATGATTGTAAAGGGTGTTTTATAAATGTATGCGTAAAATAAAGAATACAGTTTTGAAATAGTACCAGGCGATTTATCGAAAAATAGGATTGCAAACCAACGGATTTTCATGCGTTGGGTCAATGCTTAATCCTTGGTGGGTTGTATATTTATCACTACAGATGTATGTATGCGGTATTTAACTATTGGAAGTTTCGCCATAACAATTAGTGTATTATTACTGCATTTTGGTCACATTCATCTGATATGTCATTCAGATACAATCATAATTTTTCGTAACAACTGCGCTCTATCTGTGAAAACATGTGGAATAAATTAAGTGGAATATTGGTTACACGCGGCATTGGTATTTCCGAACTGAATACCGAAAAGCAAATGAATTGAATGAAAATATATTCTTTGGTAATAACCATATTCAATACAATCTACAACTCAGTTTATTACAGAGAATGCGCATGCTCAAACTTAACTGGAAAATATTTACCGAGCCGAGCTAAATGTACAATTTCAAGTATTTTAAACTTTGCTCTGTGATTGCCGCAGTTATGCACCGAAATTTGGAATTGCGATATGTTCTATGTATCATGTAGATGGGACCTACACATTTGGCTATCTTGAAACAATTGAAATAATATCAATTCACGTTCACGGTTTGTATAAGTTGTGGAATGGAAATGACCTGTGAAACTATGTCAAAGGTTGTTGAATTGTTATTAGAGAGTATGTGACGATACCACATAATCATATTGCATAATACAGAATGTATTGATACAAGTTTTATTTCATAGGTTTTACATTTCACATCTGTTTGCAGGGATGAAGTCACTTCGAAAGAAAATATTCGGGACGGTATTTGCTGCGCTGTGTTCTTCTTCCTCGTCTTAAGCGTTCTGACATTTCCGAATGGTAATATATGTTTGTGTGCCTTTGTATCTCTATGAAGATATCATGTCATGATTAACTTGATTAAGTTAAGCCGTGTAGTAGAAACTTTGAAAAACTAACCATGGTTGCAGGGCAAATAATTATCTTGTCGATATCTTGTTTGAATAAATTATGTAACACGCACAGATTATATTAGTTTATTGCAACTACAATAATTCTTGTATATATGTAATTGTGCAAATTTATTTATATTACTTCGATTATAATATGGATGTTAAATAAACACGTTCACGGGATTTATTGCAATATTCGTCTGCAATTCACGACATAAAATAAAAATTGTACTGTTCCATGCTGTGTGGTAAACTAACCCACTAATGAATTGTGTCCTGGCATTGCGCACATATAAACAAAAATATTTAAATATGTTCTTTCATATCCAAACATAATACATGCACAGTAACATGTACGGTGACTGACAGAGAGTGACTTACAGATAAAAACAATGGATCTTTAAGACTCCCCAATTTGTTATACTGGGTTGTCGAATCCAACGCGTTCCCTGATTTGATATATTGTATAAAAGAATATAAGCGTGTACACTACTAGTATGATATTCGTTGGTCGTTTGTGTGTAGTTGCCAATGTGCACTAGTATCATGAAAACGTAATTTGCCTAAATGTGTACATATAAAAAACTCCTGTAATATGAAGCACGTGGGATATTTTATGTTCATATCTATATACAGTATTTTCTGTTTTTATTTAGGACCATTTACGAGACCTCATCCTGCTTTATGGCGCATCGTGTTTGGTAAGACTGCTTGACAAGTACTAGTATACAACATATTTAAAAAAAAGTAATCAATAATAATTTAATACTACATTTGTTTCTCAGTCAGCAATTCTAACTGTCCTTAGACAGTATATTTTGTTAAATTTAAATTACTATTATTTGGTTCCTAGGTATTGGTGTACTTTACTTGCTTTCATTGGTATTCATTCTTTTCCAAAGTCTTAGCGATGTGAAGTATGTGATACACTGGCTTTACCCAGAACTCAGGGGTAGTGAACCTGATTCAAAGGTGAGTGACCTCGTCTATTCAAATAGATACCCATATCACATCCGACATTAATAATTTTATTTTTCAGAAATGATTTATCAAAAACACGTTGTGGTGTCACACGTACATTTGCAGTATGTAGAAGTACACATTTTGGAAAATCTCAGTGAGACTATCCACTTTACTACATATGCATCTTACACGGACTATGTATAATCACATTCCTTTATATTTTATTTCGTAGGAATATGCTGTCAATTGTTCACAAATTACCATGGAAAAAATATGGAGTCATTTCGATGTGTTTCTCTTTTCCCACTTTTTTTGCTGGATACTGAAAACAATGGTTGTGAGGCATTATGGGATATGTTGGACAATGAGTATTACCTGGGAGATCACAGAGGTGTGTCATTCGATTCATTCTTTCTCATAGTCCAGTGGATAAGCTATCAACTGTTCAAATAGTGACGACATTTGGCACATATATGAAGTTCAATGTGCTCACCAAAGTTGGGTTTGAAAAAAAAAACATTTCGGAGCAAATTAAAAATGACACAAAATAAACAAATCTGATAGAGGTCTACTAAACATACATACCAAGTACCAAAATAATTGAACTGCTAAAGAATATCGATAATAGTAATTTTTAACAAAATCTACTAAACTATTCATTGAAATAATAAAATTAAACAAAGTAATATCAAGTTAATGGGTTATATATATTTTTAATAGCATCGATATATACATTTTAAAAAAGTAAAAAAAGATCAGTTTTGCTCAAAAAAAGGTCCGTGGTTTGGCCGCCATCTTGGTTTCCCGGCAAAATGGCAAACATTTTGAGCATTTGTTTTTTATCAGTGCTTTACTGAATCGGCTTAAAATTGTGTAGGTTTTTCATTTACTTTATATTATCTGTATGATAATATAAACAGTAGGTAGATTAGTTATAGTATATCCACAATTTAAGGACTGAGGTTACATTTACCAAACATCTAAAAAATGTTATCACATGCTAGTAACTGTCATGAATTTGTTTGCGCGTATCTGTTGATCGACTTATTTAGCTGATTACTAGCGAATGGCTGTGTTATGTTTGTCATCGTTTAGGCTCATGCGAGGTCCTGGACGGAACTCGACTCAGTGATTTGGAATTAATTACGATATAACCGTCGCTATCCGGACTACTATTTCTGACAGTTGGTATTTGCAGTTAGTAATATAGTGAACGATTAATCAAAAGATATGACGTGTCCAGTACTTAGTTTGATTGGCTGTGTGCAAGTTGAATGACTGAAGGTTACGCCTTAGAGTCTTTTTCTGCTTTGTAATTGGTTAAAGTTTTGAAAGTCTTGGCGAGTACACCAGAAAAGACGCAGTCTAGGGGCAGTCTTGGGTCAGCCTTGCGATAGTCTTGGGGACTTTTCCCCAGGGCGCTGTGTCTTATAGAGGACTCGACTGACCGACTAAAGACGAGAGTTGATACGTATTTCGTTGTGTGCGTCTATTTGACTGTAAAGTTTAAGGATGTAGTAGAGGTTATTGCTATTGCAATTGCATAGCACATTTCTAAAGTAACACATTCTTTGAATCCCATCAAGTTGTATATTTTTAGAAAGCTTATTTTTCAAATAATATGAAATAAATATCCCAACAACAAAAAATGGTACCGTGTAATCACGTGATCACTGCACAAATAGAGAGGTGTTATTTTTGAAGAAACCGAAATAAGGCCACAGAAATGATGTTCGCGCAATTCAGAGATACTATAGAAGGATTGAATTTAATATCTACTTGTCTACTGTTGCGTGACCTAGAATTTTACCTCATAATGATTTTTAAAAACATCGTCAACATTGTTTTGAAATATGGTTCCCTGTTTCATAGTTCACATAGGTGAGAGTTGTGTCGTATTTTCTAAAGTCAAAGTGGTAGACAAACTATCTTTGCCAGATTTCATTAGCAGCTACCAGAGAATACCTATGGCAACAATCACCATCGTGGAGCAGCTGGGAGTCGAGATCAACTCTCTAGACTAACCCCCAAATACTGATGTTTACTTAAGCGTAAAAAATCACAAAAAATATAAAACACACTGTATCTCAGATTTATTCAAAATGTATTAGCCTCCTAAACCATCTCTACAATTGTTTTTTCTAGTTAAATGCATGCTTCATATATTTGTATGAGAGAATATGGAAAAAAGTAAATTTTATATGTTCAAAGAAAAAAACCTCTACTACATCCTTAAGTGACTTTCCCGATACCGTATCTCAAGCAGACGTGTATAGAGACAGAGACGAGATTTCCCCATGACACGGGTTGAAGAACCTCAGAGAGAGGAATCCCCCCGTGATATAACCCGTAATGCTGCTTGCAACTTTACTACAAGTAACACGGGCGAAATGACCGCTTGTCGTAGTCACCAATGGTGGTTACAGTGAGTGAAAAGTAATGATATTATGATTGTTTACCTAATACGCAGTGCGTGATGTTTAAAAAGAGTACAGCGCTGTTTTTGTTGATATAAGAACCAATGTTCGTACTGTAAATGTACCTAAAGTGTCCGTATACATCCGTAAGGTTGTTTCACTCTCACAGAGTTTTCTTAAAAACGACTGATTTATTAAACTCTATTGATAGTACTTATTCATGAAGCAATGAAGATTATTATTTCGACATCATAATCGTAAGGTTCGCACGAATCTATGAATTAATGCTCGGCACAACGCTAACAGCAGCCATGATGAATTGAAGTTTCCATGTAAAATAAACACGCTTGGAAACAGGTCCGTGATTGGTCCGTAAAATCCGCTGAACAGTGTTTTCGTTGAAAGAGATTAATATAGATCAGATGTAGGTATGGCGTCAAAATTACAAAATGTTAAAACAACGTAAAAACAATAAAATACTGTTAATTCAAACATAATAAATAAATAAATAAATAAATAAATAAATAAATAAATAAATAAATAAATAAATAAATAAATAAATAAATAAATAAATAAATAAATAAATAAATAAATAAATAAATAAATAAATAAATAAATAAATAAATTCGTGCGCTACATCAGATTTTAAAAAGATTGAAATGCATGGGGAGAATATCGTTCTGGCAAACCTGTGAGTGTAGACCTCGGATCTCTCTTGATGAGTGACATCCAGTGACGTGGGGATTACTTGTATTAATCATATACGGGTATGTGAGGCTCCGACTTTTTGGTTAATTTCACGGTTCAGGAGACTATATTACTCCAAAACCCACCCACCCACCCCTACTATAGTCTAGTATAAATATAATTTGATACGAAAATAAGCAGTGAATACATAATATACGGTCAATTGAACATAACAGAGGCACATATACACTAGTTTAAAATGAACCTTTAATTGCCACATGTCACACATTATATCAACAGAGCAAAAATAAAACCCGTTTGATTTTTGGAAATTGCAAAAAGAACCCTTGTCCGGTATAGAATAATATTGTGCTATTATAAACATCGGGGGAAAACAATTAGAATATTATTACTTTAAATTCACTGTAACCATCATCATTGGTGACTACAATATTGTTTTACAGGTCGCCTTTATACATCTTCTTCCAAATTTTGCTGAATGTTGGTGGGACCAGTTGATTTTAGACATACTAATATGCAATGGCCTGGGAATATGGATAGGAATGGTCATCTGTAAAAAACTTGAAATGAGGTCATTCAAATGGGAAAGTATAAGGTAAGTCAAGAAATCGTTCTAGTTCGTTTAGGGGTACCTTTTAAGCAATTAAACTTCTCATTTTTTTATATTATGACAAAACAAAAATAATACTGAAATTTAAAGTTTACATAAAGTATAACTGCCCTGACATCACAAATTTGTGAGAAAATATATACGTTACCTATATCAACAAATGTCGGTCTTTTCTAAATATTTTAATATATTTCTATTTTCAGAAATATCCCATCAACCTCAGGAAAAATACGACGGGCCGTTCTTCAGTTCACGCCAGCCAGGTATGTAAATATTGTTGCATTGTGGGGTCGCTTTCCATCCCATATAATTCATTGTATAATCTATTAATTGTGTGGGGTGAAGCTCACCCAAGGCCAGAAAGCTTGGCCAACTGTAAATTGTGTTCGTTCATCTTATGTTTTTAAAACCGCTCTATCATTGTAACTTGTGGAAAAAAACATTCCTATAATGTTTTGTTAATAATAAAATTAAACATTCACATTCTATACTTATGAATGGGCTTGCGTAACCGTTTAAAACAAATAGTAGGTCAAAATTTCCTCTGTCAAGGCATAGAGCTATGGATTCTGAATATTATTGATGAGATATACCGCTTTACTTTCATGATAAATAGTGTAATCAAATACTGTTCTGTTATTCTAATAGAGCATGCGCGTCACTTACTGTCCGACTATGTCATCAACTTTTAGGCTCGTTCAAAATTGATTTATTACCGTTACAAACCAATAGCCCAAACAAATTTAACATTTCCATAATTTTAGTGAAAATTGCATGAATGGCTGCAAACGAGACTATATGGCTACTCCGATAAATAGTCCGCATATGCTTCACATGAATTCTCGTTGTGCCCGCTGAGATCTCGTTTTGCCCGCCGAGACCCCGTTGTGCCCGCTGAGATCTCGTTGTGTCCGCTGATATCTCGTTGTGCCTGCTGAGATCTCATTGTGTTCGTTGAGATCTCGTTGTGTCCGCTGAGATCTCGTTGTGTCCGCTGAGATCTCGTTGTTTTCACTGAGATCTCATTGTGTCCACTGAAATCTCGTTGTGTGATACTGAGATCTGTAATTAATTTTTTATCTAACACTGTTAGTAATGTTTACTATGTTTTTATATCTTTACAGTTGGACCCATGTGAGGTGGTTAGACCCAACTTCGTCATATATGCGTGTTATTGCTGTGTACATTATGCTCGTTTTATGGCAGGTTAGACTTCAATATTTTCTTTTTATATTCACTCGTATAATACCCGTAGACATCGTTTCTGTAAAGTTCAATAATTGTTTACTTACATAAAAAAAAACTTTTCAGATATCTTCAATCACTATTATTATGACATGAACAAATACAGATTACGTACTAGCTAAATCATAGTTACAGAATATGATATTTACCGATACATGTGATGTAACCATCATTTAACTAATATATTCAACGGAGAATTCGATCAATCATATTGTAAGGGTTGATATTCGTAGCTTAATTAGTAGTTTTACAATTCTAATCCCCGGATTGTTTTTTCCAGGACAAATTTGCTTTCACATGATCGAAATAGAGAAAACACATTTTTCCCTTCACTATTTAAAAATGCTACATTTTTCGAACACCAACAATTTCTAGAACGGCGAATTGTATTAATGGATGGTTTTTACTGAAAGACCCAAGTAGAAGTTGTTTGTGAAGGAACGCAACATGAAGTTTACTATGGTACATACATACATAAATGTGTGATCTATACAGGTTATTTGTGTTTCTTATTTATGGATGTATGTTTTCATTATAGGTGAATGGATTGAACACTTTTTTCTTGAAGCATATACTATTAATTCCAACCAGTCACTCAATAAATATTTATCGGGTGGTTTTAATATCTATAATTGGAGCGCCATCTATCAGGTATGGTGCAAACAAAGAAGTATGTGTTCCATGTGAAAGGAAAAATTCAATTATATTGATGCACGGCCAGAACAACACAGTGTTCAAGATCCGAATTCCGAAATCTACATATGTTTATAATGTAACTATAAATGCAACTACCCAAAACACTACTGACATAAACATGTGTTTTCAATACAACAAACCCCAAACATTTAGGCTATAAAAAGCCTCCTATATGCAATGTTACTTAATAAATAATTCAATTGGCGTTTTCTATATATCTACAGGCAATACTATTGTTATGTTACTGATCCAATGTGTAAACGACTGGGAACCCAGTGTTGGGTACTTTGGTAAGTTGCATATCAAGCATATGTTACTTCTTACAGTTACTTCTGTTGTTGACAGTTAAATGTTGTTTTCACTGTGAGTGGATTTCATTATTATTTAGGCTTTTTACGTAAAAGATTTCCTGTATTGGTGATCTTAAAAATTCTTATAATCTAATTTCCAAATCAAAAATATAAGTGCCCATAATGTGCAACTTATAATTAATGTGCAACTAAATATGATGGATTTAGGAAAACTGTGCATTATATTTAATTCTAAATAAAGGGACCGAGTTATGAGAAATGATGTTTGCCTTTGATTGAGTTGAGATTACACGAAGTACACTAGTTGCTATGGGGTGTAGTTCCATCGACCACATTCAATGTTGAGTTTATGGACCGATGTTCGAATTCCGGACATGGCTATTCTGTGGAATGGTTTATCGATACATGACAAATAAGACTGTGGTATATATTCCTGTTTAACTTATTACGCCGGCCTGTATATTGAAAACAATAGTTTAATTACAAATGTTAACTAAGTGGATACATATAATATAAAATATCTACTACACACTTTTACGAACTGAATTATTTTGTACATAAATACAGTGCTATTGTGATGACGGAGACTTTAATATCCATGAAACTGGGCATGGAAGTGTTTGCACAAACCATATTGACAAACGTCATACTTTGGTTAGTTGTTCAGGTAAGTTTTATTTCATTTTTAGTTTAGGTACTCACTTACTTACAGCACTGCAAAAAAGACCATCGCTCTAAACATATGGGTATATTGAATAATTATCAGGGACTATATCAATTAACGGATATTAATTATTAAATGTTCATTTTATTTATATCGTAGATGTTGATTAGTAGCTTGTGTGTGTATTTAATGGTGGTATTCGCAAGACGTTCGCAGCATAAGGTATATATATTTAAACGTTGACAGTCTTAGTAGAATACTGTCGTATTTCTGTAAACACACTGGCATAACTGTACCCGTGTATATGTCCATTCTAGTTATTCGTTAATGCATTTTGTAATTGTCACAATTTTCTGTATTACGTAGGAATCTCGCCAGAATGATGCCAACATGTCGACACAGTACTGGCCAATCAGTGAAAGCAGCCAATATTCCAAAGTTATGGATGAACAATCCAACAACCTAGCAGTACACCAAAATAATGATTTATCCTTTATCTACCAAGAACGGCGAAACGGGCATATGAAAACTGGCCGTGTGAAAATCAAAAAACGGGCGAAATCTCAGAAGTCAGGGGGTAACTAGCATTGGGAAAATGCGTGCGGTTCTGACTGATCATTAATGTGAATTTACAACAAATTTGTCCACTGAATTCTCGTTGTGTCCGCTTAGATCTCGTGCCGATGAGATTTTGTTTTGTCCGCTAAAATCTCGTTGTGTCCGCTGAGATCTCGTTGTGTCCACTGAATTCTCGTTGTGTCAGCTGAGATCTCCTTGAGTCCGCTGAGATCTCGTTGTGTCCGCTGAGATCTCATCTGTTCTAAATGTCAGAGATGCATCTGTACAGTAGATGCAACGAAGGAAGTTAATGGAACACACTTTCGGGGACAAAAATCACGTGGCTCTCTATCTCAACGACATCTCATCGGCAATTTGCGTCTCAGGTCTGTTACTGTAGATCGTTCAACTTTGACATATAGATCTATGGACGCATTTTAATATGTTAAATAGTAGTAAATTACAATATACCAAAATGTTACCAACTATAAACTATAAACCTGGACAATGCACATTAGTTGACACATTTTACTGTCTGAGGGTAACAAGCTTAAGATTTGACTTCAACTAATGCTTAGAAAATATAGAATTGTTAATTGATTAGGGTGTGAAATGTACCGCGTATGACCATATAAAATGACGTAATACCATATCCAATAACACGAGGTTTCCATCATCCATGTGAGTACAATGGGCTGGGGCAGTATACGCCACATAACTGAGCATTACACGAAATGGAACATACAAACGTGTTCAATAATATTATATATGTACAGTTCGGTTCTCACCGCCAAATGAAATTTATAATGCATGTCTATTCCTGCTCTTTAATTTGACAATGGTTTAGCTGCCTTCAAACTCAATGACCAGACTATTTCGATCAGAAATAAATGATTGAATTAATTAAGATGTATCATCAAATTCTCTCTTTATTTGTGATTTCCCGACATGCCTTGTGACCCCTGAAGGTTACACATCCTGGTACTTCCCAAAACGTTCACATCTAAATTGCCGTTGCCTAAAATTGTTACATGTGCTGCAAAAATACATGTTTGTCAAAATAAATCCCAGATACAACGCCCTCGACGATGAGTACAGATATGAGTTTTCAGCCGTCTAATGGGGGCGCCCGTCATTTTAAATCCCCGCAGTGCCGATCGACTAGACTGGCCCAGTCGTGTAAATTTTATAGACATTTATATTATCTTATGAAACAATAAAATTTCCACTGCTGGACCAGTCTAGTCAATTGGCAAGCATCTGTCGTTATTTTAAAAGACTGTGAATGAAAAAAAAATACTAGTATATACCAACTTGTCATCGCTTATTATAGTGACAATAAATACTGCGTGCACTCAGCAATTTGCTTTTGAAGTATACGACTAACAACGGTTTCACAAACTACAAAATGTATATATTCATAATTAATCTAGTTTTATAACAAAATAATTATCTCGTATACAAACAAGGATCGGACATAATTCAATATTATTGTAAAATGCATTTACATACAAAACAATTGCTTACAACATTGTAATCAGGACTCAGCATGTTATGTCTTATACTGGCGTATGTGTGTAACTTGTATCCCAAGTGATGTACGTGAGGAATGTAGGTCAGGCCCGTAGCCAGGTCTTTTGAATAGGGGGTTCGAAAACAACAATTATATATTTGATGTGAAATGTGTGAATTTTATAATATTCAAAAAGTGTTTTTGAGCTCTGTTACAGACATTTTTATATTATCGATTCTAAATTCAATTGGTTTACTTTGCGTTACATTGGTAAGATATTTCACATAACATCTTTGGACTATTTTATCATTTTAGAGAAGGGGTCCTGAGCCATTCCCCACCTACAGACAAAAATATTCACACCATTGATCCACTACGGCAAAATGTTGTACCTATCTTAGCATTATTGTCTAAGTATTTTAAGGTAGAAGGCTACTTACGAGTTTTTCTCTCTTCGCAGATGTTAGCGCACATAAAAGTGACACGATTTCATGTCGAAATCTGTCTACAATTATTCATTTTAGTATTAGTCAATTTTGTATTATGTAATTCTATTTCTGTACAGGGCCTCAGCCTATTGTACAAAATGTAATGGGTAGAAAAGTGCATAGCACGTTTTAAACACAATACAACATCCATGTAAACATATGGTACTAAGTTAAGCTGAATTCATATTTATCTCGTCGCTTGAAAACTTTTAAAGAATATAGAGCTATTTGATATA